AGGGAAAGATTTGCACCATCTGGAGACTAAGATAAAGCTAAAACACTACCTGAAAATCAAGATACAACCCTCGAAGTGAAGAAGATACGCCGACAACTGTCTCGGTACAAGTACTCAAAAAACTACTAATCCAAACCCTTATACACACACATACAAGAAATGACTAAAAAGAAACAAAGGATAATAGGAAAGAAAGAGTAAGAAAGGAAAATGAGACTGTTTTAGCGACCCGACTCCCATCTCCCACTATACGTTTTCTCGTGGTACTGTAGCAGCTACAATACTGCAAGAAAACTATGCGGGAAAAAGCTCCCTTGTCAAGCTCTTGCGGTTGGGGGAGCTTCGACTTCATTCGTCGAAGTTCTTGGCTCCTCATAGCTTGGAGTCAAGTCTGCTAATTTGAATGTAGCAGAGATATTGTAGTCCTCTGGTAAGTCGATCAAGTAGGTGTTGTCGATCCAAAACACATTATGGTAGAGTAGGTATTCATCCTATCTTAGCACAACCTGAGCTGGTACTGTAGATAGAAGAGTGTTCATACGAATCTTTTATCGAGCCATCTCATTTGTAAACTGCTTCTTTCACTCATACTCAGCGGAATGTAGTTGATAAACCAGTATGTGGGGAGAAATCAACTATGGGGTGTAATCTATGTCAGATTGCACCCCTCTCACTTGCAACCACTGAGGAGAAATCTTCTTTACTGATTGGACTTGGATCCCACAAAAGAGGTTTATCTCATCTTTTTTGACATTTGTTGATGGGTACCATAGTGAACTGAATATAACATCTGAATAACTCCATGTAACCTTCAAGACATGGCCTAAAATGACTCCATTTTTTACATGTTGGACCTCCCTCAGTAAGGTTAACAGAGGAATGAATCTACAGATTTGAATGGTCTAAATTTCTTATATTTAGGGGTGTCATGCTTCTAGTGTTAGTTTCTCGAATTCAAGACTGCTTTGTACACTTACTGTGAAGTCGATTGGAGTCTCTCCCATTGGCTCTGCTGGAACTATGTGGCTCTTTTCCTCCTCAACTGGAAGTTGATTCTCCTCCTTTGTGTCCTCACCATCTTTAGTGTCTACCGTGTGATTACCCAAATTTGCTCAGTGAAATAGCTGGTTGTGTAGTCTGATTCAACATGCCCAATTTCTTGGCATTTGCGACACTTCTTGGCTGTGACAAATTTAGAGATGTGGATTTGTGTTATCTGGTCTCTACTTTGAATCAGTTTTTCCTCTGATGGGGTCATCTTGGGCGTTCTTCTGTGTGTAATCTGACTGTAAGACCCTGGGGTTGAGCTCTGTCTGCAAGACAGGGTGGTCGCTCGGTGATGTGGTCTATCCACTTTTGAAGTTAGGGTCTAAATTTTGAGTCAGTAGCAAGCTACTAGGAACTGATGTTGTATCTCTCGCTTGATCTTCAAATTATCCCATTCTCCATATGGTGGCTCTTCTCTCGGCCTCCTCTGATACTGAATTCCACAACATGGTGGCCAGTCTTCTGCATCACTAAAATCCTCTCGATGGAAGGAATTTAAATCATCATCTTTGGCTCCCTTTGACTCTCCCATCCCGGTCAAGGGCAATCTACCCTTGGGATTTATCCTCAATGCTGCAAGCTTCTGCTGAAGTCGACAGATCGCTATCTCTTCCCATGTAGGCTTAGTTGTGTATCTTCTTGGTGGCATGACTAGGGTTTAGAGTTGGGAGGTGAAAGAGAGTGCATTGGACTAATCGACGGTGTCGAGAATTTGATTTGGGGTTGCTGATGTTGAACATCATCAAATGAGAATTAAGGTTGTCAAATTGTCGCTAATGTTTGGGAATAGGAAAGAAAAAGTTTTGTTGGAGGGGGCAAGGCAAACGCTAGGAAACCTTAGGATAATACTAGGGTTAGACTAGCTCTAATACCAAATGATACTAGAGTTCACCCAAACCACCACAGAAAAAAAAAATATTAATAAAAGCAAATAAACATTTACAACCAACACACTTGAAAGGGAAAATACAATATGCACAACACAAACTTGCATTAGGGTGGCTTTCATATGATATTAGTGACGGTTATAGGACTGGGTGAGGTGGCGACAAGGTAGGGAAGGGGTTTCCCGGCTATGTTAGTGAAGAGATTATTGGTGGTTGGAATGGCTGGGCAGCAAGGGAAGACTGTCCAATCAATGGTCGTTTGTTGTTTGGGGCGGATGGGTTGTGGGAAAGCAACAAGGGGGAGGCATTGCAGCGATGGGAACAAGTTGGACTGAGGGGAACAACTGGCCGGTGTTGACCTCATTTTCAGTGAGGTTTTAGTTTCCTACTCCCATAACCCAAAATATAGTTTTAGGAGTTTTTATTGACCATCCTAGCGGATTCTTATTGACCATCCTAGCGGACTAGCAATGGAGCCAACTTCCCGTAGAACTTCAAACCACTTCTTGACTCATTTTTGTGAAGAACTCGTATGGGTGGTCCCAAACACTCAAATTCTAGTTGCAAGGGCTAAGGACCAGCATGTAGAGAGCCCAAAAATGAGTTCTTACATGATTAGACAGCCTTAGGTGAACTCTCTGTGACTCAGCAATGCACTCGCTACACTACGCGTGAAGTTGATACTTTTTTTGCCTGACCATCGGCAAACTTGTTTAGACGACCCTAGATGACGAAACCGACCGCGCCGACACGTTCGGAACATCAATTTTAACCGGGAAGGACACCCATATTGCTAGGGTTTCGCGCGCAAACAAATTACACGAATATCGATGCACGTTTTTTTAATTAGCGGGGCGCGGTCCCGGACAACCCAGATTCAACTCAGGTTCGATTTAGGCTGGCTGAACAAGGGTTAAACAAATTTAAATTTCAAAATTTCAAATTTCAAATAGGCATTTAATCTCATTTTAATTAAAAGTTAAAGATTTTCCTTTTGAATCGGCTTCATCAACGGAAACTAATTAAGTCCCCACCAAAGTTTTAGCGTAAGGGCTGCTTCGATTAATTTAGTCTGCTCCTGTTCTAAAAAAGGAACACTGGCTTCTTCGTTGTGCTCTCGGCACTATTCGACACCCTGTTCCTTCTCACGCTCGATCCCGTACCCCTCCTTAACAGACCGAAACCCTCGTCTCATCTCCCCGGCCTCTGCTTCGCCTCTTCCTCTTTCGGGCATAGAAGTTCCTCGTTCGACCTCGTCGCCCTCTCCCACACGCGCTCATCTCCTCCCTGCATTGAAACGCTCGCCTCCTCTCTGCACCGATCCCTCACGCCGGCTTCGACTCCATCTTCCTCTCACGACGAATATGGTCTCCTCATTCGGCACCTTCCCCCTCTCTCGATCGCTGCCTAGCTCCCTCTTTGTGCTCGCCTGCCCTCACTCTCCTTCTCCTCTCCTTTGCGTCGAAGCTTTCGCTCGACTCGACTCCCTCCTCTACACCGAAGCTCTCGCCCTCTACACCGAAGCTCTCGCCTTCCCTTCTGCACCGAAGCTTTCACCCGCTCGACTCCCTCCTCTACACCGAAGCTCTCGCCTTCCCTTCTACACCGAAGCTTCCAACTCCCTCAACTCTCGATCGAACCTGAGACCTGAGATTCAGTCGCACTTCCCTTTTTCCTCCTTCTCTCAGTGAGGTCCAGCCGGAGCCCCTTCCTCTCCCAGTCGACAGCCCTGCAGGAAACGATTTGGACAATCAGAACAGGAAGTCAGTTGTGCACGTTCCGCCTGTCCAACCCAATCCTCTACCCAATCCTCTGACCGTTCACTTCTCTCGTTAACTTCTCTGTGAGTTCTTGCAAGATCCCAAACACAAACTAATATTTTCTGTGGATTTTATTTCTGTCCAATTTGGTCTCCAGATC